TTTATCTTCGTCAGTAAAATCTTCATGAATCCATGTTATAATTTCCTGAACCAAATATAAAAGGGAGTAAAAGCTAATACTATAAATTAAAAATAAAAAATAAAAAATAAAAAGCATAAGAGAGTAGGCCATATTAGGAGAGTGAGAGATACGGTTCGAACAAAAACGGCAAAAAAGGATTGGCGATACCTTTTTTTTCCTTTAGCGTGAAGGAAGGATCAGTGAACGAAAAATAAACTAAAAAAACAAAGGTACTGAGAGAAGAAGAAGAGTAGATCTTTGGTATCGATTCTGGTAGTTTCTGTAGTATCATCCATGGCGACGGAGAATCATTCCTTTGAGCTCGCCAAAGGCATCAATGGCCTCGGCAAAATCGTCCTCCGCGAGTCTCGCAGCCGCTCCGCCGAGGTCCTTTTCACTCTCTCTCTCCGTAACTGATCTCGCTCTGGCGATACTGATCTCAGATTTTTTTGTGATCGCTGTTGTAGCTTGATTGCGATTGTGAATCTGTAGTGATTTGAAACTGTATGCGTTGTTAACGGAATAGCTAGATCTGTGGATTCATCTCACTGAAACTGAATCCTCCATTAAGTAGTGTAGTCTATAAATCCATGGATCTATCTTATGAAGATGAATTGATTCCGAGTGATGATTGATCATCAGTTTTAAGAGTGTGAACTTTTCCATCTCAGTGTTATTAGGCTTCCTTTAATGTTAATTTCGTTTCTCGAAAATGCAGGTATACTTGTATGGTGGTCATGTGACTTCGTGGAAGAATGAGAACGGAGAAGAGTTGCTTTACCTCAGCAGCAAGGTATCCACATCTATACAGTCTTCCGTTTGATTTAAGAATGACGAAATGCCACAGTTGGTTCATGAAAAAAAAAAGCTTCAAACTCTGTTAGAAACAGACTAAGGGCTCAATATACTGTCACGTTTAGTTACTTGAATCTGTGAAAAAAATAAGAATAATTCCTAAAGAAGTTGATATTGGATTCTAAACATTTACCATTAGATGTTTCTCTGGTTTGTTGGGTTTCTGTGATGCAAAAGATTATTTATCTTTTTTCTTTATCTACAATGATTGGCTCAAGGAGGTAAATGACATCGATTCTTACTTTACAGGAAAAAAATCTTCACTTCATGTTTAGTTTAAATTCCAAAAGAAGCATGTCAAAGAATAGAGCACATTTGATTCTGCTCATACTAGAATTGTTTGTTTTGTTTGGTTTAAGTGAGTGTATGAGCTCTAAGACCATGTGTTATGCGTTGTGCAGGCTATATTCAAGCCTCCAAAACCAATCCGTGGAGGGATTCCCCTTTGCTTTCCACAAGTATGTTTTTTTTTTTTTTGTATTTCTTCCTTTTGTTTGTTCCATTTTACTATTCAGTGTGCTCATAAAATTCTGTTTTTTCACTTGCAGTTCAGTAACCTTGGTACACTCGAATCACATGGATTCGCTAGAAACAGGATCTGGGAAGTTGATGCTAGCCCACCTCCTTTGCCAACGAACTCTTCTTCTAATGCTTTCGTTGACCTGATCCTGAGGCCAACTGAAGACGATCTAAAGACATGGCCTCACAAGTAAGATTCTTCAGAACTCGCTATTTATGTTTTCTTAGGACAGTATGCACGTATTTAACTAGAGATGTCTACATTGAATCTTGTGTTCATTGTCTTCATCAACTCTCATTAAGAAGAGCTGAAGCGCATTTACTAACTTTCCTCCCGGTGTATCCATTTTCAGTTTTGAGTTCCGGATGAGGGTGAACTTGGGATCTGAAGGAGAATTGACACTAACATCTCGTATCAGGAACACAAACTCTGATGGAAAGCCGTTTACATTCACTTTTGCTTATCACACCTATTTCTCTGTCTCTGACATCAGGTAATCCCATTGCATTCACGTATTTATCATTCCAACATGTTGCAACTTTACTGGTCGTTTTTGAAAACCTTGATCGTGTTTCATTATATTAAACTCCTACATCTATCTTTCCGGGAAACTTTGCTATAGAAACATTGATATGCATCGGTATGGCTGTGTTCAGTGAAGTACGGGTTGAAGGATTGGAGACGCTGGACTATCTAGACAACTTAAAGAGCAGAGAACGTTTTACGGAGCAAGGAGATGCTATTACTTTTGAATCTGAAGTAAGTTTGCGATATCCTTCTTTCTGAAGTATATATATTAGTATATCATCACTTGAAAAAAGAAACGTGTCACTTGTTTAAAAAATAGATTGACAAGATATACCTAAGCACTCCTACAAAGATTGCTATTTTGGACCACGAGAAAAAGAGAACCTTCGTTGTACGCAAGGACGGGCTTGCTGATGCAGGTAATACCTAAAAACCATGTTGTTTGTTTTTGATCAGAATCCTAGATTCGTACTACGAATTACTAATCACATTCATTGATAAATGTATCCTAGTGGTGTGGAATCCTTGGGATAAGAAGTCAAAGACAATATCAGACTTGGGAGATGAAGACTATAAGCATATGTTATGTGTTGAAGCTGCAGCTGTGGAAAGACCGATCACATTAAAACCGGGTGAAGAATGGAAGGGAAGACTCGAGCTCTCTGCGGTTCCTTCTAGTTACTCCAGTGGACAGCTTGACCCCAAGAAAGTCCTCCAATGAATCTTTCAAACTTCAAAAGATCACCCTTTCTCCCCTCTCTTTCTTATTTGATTTGCAGGTAGCTTCAAAATATATACTCTTTCCCGTTTTTTTCTCTTTCATGTGTGTTTCAGACTTCAAAACATACAAAATCTTTTCGTTTATAGTGAGTGGTAAACATGATAGGGGTATCTTTCCTTTGATTTAGATATTCTGTCATTTTGTTTAAGAGAAATATTCTGTCATTTTATTTCAAATGATAAGAACTTGAATTTGGTTTGTGCAGTACTATGAAGAAACGAGTTTGGAGGAAGGCGTGAAGATGATATGGTGTTTTGGTTTTCGCAATTAAATAAATAATTTTCCTTAAGTACACTATAATACTATTTTACCCTTAAGAATCAATCATACATCCTTGTTGATTAGTTTTTGCCTATTAGAGAATTTTTTGCTTGTATACATAGGTGGAGACCACTCGGTGCTTGTGTCTAGCCTTTCTGCTGTTAGGTCCGAAGGTATTTCAAACTTATAAAAATATATTGGCAGAAAATGAATATCCAATCGAAAGAATAGTACTACAAGTCCCAAATCTAACGGTGTGTTACTTATATACTTAACATCTCTGCCCGGAGTCCACAATACATCCGCTTTGTCTAAATGAAATCGAATGAGCATTAACTTCGAAATTACCACTACTCTTATCTTATACAAAAGTTAATGGTTTGGTATGGGCATCAATTATTGAAGTGCCGTAATAACTGGTAAGTAACTCGAATCTCAGCAAGTACAAGATAAATCATGTTGAGAGGTACTTAACATAATAACAAAGATACTGTTCTGTGAAAACGAAAACTCAGAACAAAAATATATCTCCGCAAAGGAAAAATGAAAACAAATAAGGCATTTTTTGGATCCACACGAGATTACATCTGGCTCGAACATCAAGAGATTCCCTAGCTTTTGCATTAAACTATTTTTATACCAAAAAAAATTATATTGATGGTGTTTTGTCGTTAATGCTTTTCATTGGTTACATAGTCATATTCTGAATCTGATTCATTGTATGTGGGAGCTGAGGTTGTCCTTAGATGGTCCATTTTAGTTGAAACTATTTTAAAATTTTAGAGAAATAGTATTAAAACAAACCCGTAGTAAACTTTGTACTCTATATGTCATATAATATAATATCTAACTCGAGTTAGTTTGTCAGCTTGCCTAATGTTTAATGATATCAGTTTTTTTGGGTTAAATATTTTTTCTTTTCTGAAAGTTGGGTTAAATATTTAGAGATGAGTTGATTAAAGGTATGAGATTAACAACTATACGAGAAATGAAATTATACGCATACATAATTTAAGGTAGTGGATAACTATTTTCAATGAAATTAAAATAACTGTGGAATCACTCTATGATTGCGAATATGAACTAATCTTAAGTTTTCAGGAATTGATATTTCAAGTTTGGTTTTCAGCTGAACTATATATGTGAATGTGATGTAATGTACTAAAATAATCTCCAAAAGCAGAAAGTATAATATAGAGTGAAGATAAAATATAATCTAAGAGCTGAGTAACAAGTGGAGAACCTACACTTGAAGGTAACCCACATGAGGAAGGCCCATTTTTAGCGTCCAGGTACCCGACACGTGTTTCCGGGACCCACATCTCGCTTGAGAAAACCCTAATGATGTTGTAATTATCTGAAATATTATTTATTTATTTTTGTAGGCAAATTTTATTTATTTTGCTATTTATCCCTACTCTATTATGTACCTGAAAATGTTTAGCTTTTTCTGACTTGAGTGAGTATGACAACTTTCGGTCCGATCTTCCTCTTTCTTTACATTGATCTTTGGTCGGAACTTTTATATTTATTGATACCACCACGGTTTATTCGTTCTTCTTCTTTATATACAGTCCCGATCTTTTCCTTAATTAACTCACCTATTTTTATCCGCTATAATCTTTGTAGAAGTATCTTTAACACTTAACAAAAAAGAATCTTTGTAAGAGTACCTTAACTGGTGAATTTAATACGGTTAATGCAGAAACGAAAACTGTAAATTTAATACGAGAACAAATGCAATTAAAATTAAAGTGACGGTGTTTTCTTTACGTTTATACATAAACTCTACAAAATAAAAGACAAATCTGGATGTGTGTGTGTATAGTCACTATAGTGGGGTAGGAGGAGGACCCACAATGTCTATTAGAAAGGCTACAACGCGTGCTAACTCTTTTTATTATTAATCCCAAATCTATTAACTCGCTCTTTGCTTCCACATGCCGTCACTTCACTTTAAGTCTTCTTATTATTTCTTTTACATTATTCACATCAAACCATATTGACCAAATCACCCCCCCTCCCCCCCCCCCCCTTTTTTTTGTCGACCCCCCCCCCTTTGTTTTCAACATTTAATTATTCATGTTTGGGGGATTTGTTTTATGACTTATAATCACAGAAACTCACTAAAATAAAAAGGGAAAAAAAAACACTAAATAGGGTTATAAATAGTTGACTGTTTAGGTATAACAACGATAAAAAAAAATTACACCAATAAAACGATAAGAAAATTTGTTGTTTATATTACAATGCAACAAAATGCTATTCATGTATAGAACCCGTGTCTATTCTTATTCGTGTGTTGTGAACTTATAATATTATCCAATATGAGGCAGACAAATCTATAGTTTATCTTTCATTTATTTCACAGACAAAAACATTGTAAGTATCTATCTATATATACAGAGTAAAGAGACAATAATTCATGTGATGTACTCTTCGAAATTTAGATGTTGACCTGCAGATTCAAACTTTGGAACTCTAAACAAATCTGATTTTATTTAAACCAATAGAAGCAATTATCGTGTCCCTATTACTGTTAACTATTGTACTTGATATCATGTTTGTTTTGGGTTTAGAATAATGATATAGGTAATTGTTTTAATATGACTTTAGATGAGTTTCCTCCTTGCTTCTCATCTCACATGGCTCCGCCTAATCCAGCCAGCTCTTTTTCTCTACAATAATCACATTTATCTGCTTATTTAATTTTATAACTTACGCATGCATCTGCGGAAAGGAATCGTTTGATTTTTTATTGGAATTAAATATTAACCGCAGATCAATATAGTTTTAAAATTTGTTGAGTTTTATAATATTTGAGATACACTAATCATTTTGGGATCTGTATTTCAAGATTGTAATAGCAAAACACGATGAGATGTGTTTCTTAATGCACCGGCAATTAGTTGAAACTTGAAAGATTGGCTAGATCTATGAACTCCAATATAAAATGTTAGTATATTTCACTTATCCTTTTATTACTAATCAGAATCACTAAATTAGCATCGTTGCCATCTTTGGAGATCGATATAGAGATTGATGAACTTGAGACCAAATTAAACTCTTGTTGATAGCATACTTTACTATGATAGAACTTGAGTAGCTTATTAGAATGTCTCCAACTTCAAAATTCACTAAATAGAGTTTGAAGTAATAAATGTTATAATCTTACTCCCTTTTCACTCCATAACAAAGTAAAAATGAGTTTACTCTATAAAATATGCTATAAATATGGATTGATTCTATTTTTATTCATCATTATATTTTTCACTCAAAAATATAATATGGTTGTAATAAAACTCAACTTTATTATACATTTATTTTATTATGGAGTTACTCAATTTTTTATTCATCACTATATTTTCCCTCAAAAATAGAATATGGTTGTAATAAAACTCAACTTTATTATACAGTTATTTTATTATGGAGTTACTCAAAAATTTTTTTTTAAAAAATTGAGTTTTACATTGAAGATATTAATTTATATATGTTTTGTCAACAGATATTAATTTACATATTCTATTGGCGTTTATATAAATGGATCAATCAAACATATATGCTCATGTATTTATACTTTACACTCGTTACTTACGCACACACACACACGAATACATGATAGAGATAACTATACAACATAACAACATTATTGATAACTCAAACAGAGTATACTCGTTCAAATATTCATGTGAGTATAACTCGAATAGAGTAGTAATAATCATTATCATGATAATTAATCTAAGTACACTAATTCAAATATAACTACGATAAGTCGGTGCGTAATCGAAGGCCCCCATGTTAGCACGAAATCTTTGAGAGGAGATTGCGAAACAAGTAGAAGACAAGCCAGCTTTAAATATAGAAATATACTGTCTTTTAATTATAATGAAACTTTAAAATGTCACTAAATTCATGTGCTGATAGTTTTTTTCTCCCTTTTCGAGGGGTTTAATATGGTATCTTGTGAAATGTGAATTAGCATTAAAAAAGTCTTATGAATAAAAATATATTTCTAGTTTTTTTGGTATGGTCCCTCTTTTGTCAATGGCCATGGATTTTAGAACAAAGCGAATCATTTCATGTAAGTTTATATTCATTCAGTTTATCTCAAATCTTGATCATCGTTATATAATATATTAATTAATCAGCTATTGATCCGTCTACATTTCCGAATTATGGCCAGTTAATCAATAAATAGTATAGTCTTTTTTATATTTTAACATTTGTTTATATATAGAACTTTAAGCAAAATTATGATCACCTAACGTATTCGGTGTTACCTCATCAATTCGAATTTCGATAATGCCAGCAAACATTAGTTAAGGTCTTAACCGAAATAAAGTTTATGCATTTTCCTGGGTCAGCTTAAAATGCATTTAATCACTATAGTGAGTAATGACACAAAATGGTTATACTGTCAATCTAGGTTTCCTAAAACATCAACCATATACTTTTATTTCCGTCAAATGCAATACAACGTTCTACGTATTCATATGTAGGCAAGTTGAAAAACGGACATAAAAACAAAAGCAAAAGAAAACTGAAAAGTTAGTATTCCATTTATAAAAATGCTAACAAGTGATATACTATAAGAGGATCTATCTCATTAAACTTGGTGTCAGATAAAAAATGATAATCATGAGATTTTTTGGGTATGGTTGGATAATATCATAATACCCAGTACGGATGATGATGGTGGGGAATATATATACGTCTTCATTTATATTGCTAAAAGAATATACAGAAACGGGAATCATTTTAATTTCCAAAATTAATACCAAAAAAAAAATATTATTTTATCTATTTTGTTACAAAAGATAGAAGCTTTGTCTTCAATTGGTTGTTATTATAATATTTGTTCTGTTCTGGTTTTTATATGGTTGCATGCATATATCTCGATCATGTCCAGGGAGGACTTGTCTGGAATATATTGGCTAAACTCATTTTCTTTTGTTCATCATTTGTCCAAATCCTCTCGATCTTCTCAGTTTTATATTATATCAACGCATCCAATTATTTTCATACCCTGCATACACGATAACTATAACAAATAAGACTTAGGATTCATAATCATACCTAATATATGGAAATTCTTGGACATCAATTGATCCATATTTTGAGCTAAAAGGTAATTAAGACTACAACATCCTCTTCTTTTGGTATTTTATACTCCCTCTGTTTCATTATAAGTGTCACTCTACAGCTATGCACACGGATTAAGGAAATAATTAATTTTACATATTTTCTATATAAAAACACAGTTACCCATACACCTAACCATATTTTAACCAATAGAAAAACAAATTACATAATAAAATTAATAAATTTTGCATTGAAAATCGAAAAACGACACTTATTTTGTAACGCAAATAATTCTCTACAACGACACTTACTATGAAACGGAGGGAGTATTATTTTCTGCTTTATTTTAGTTGTCATTTTAAATTTGTGCACAAAGATTTATAAATCATTTAATTTTATATATTTTCAAAATAAAACATAATTACTTACATACTTAACCACATTTTAACTAATAGAAAAATAGATAAAACTAATAAATTCTACATTAAAACTATAAAACGATACTTATTTTAAGACGAAATTTTTTCTTTAAAACAAAAAATAAAATGGAACGGAGAGAGTATTTGTGGCATTTATGTTAATGAAAAAGATTCATCTTCTCGGAGAATAAAGGACTGTCAAGTTAGAGACGAAAATAAGGTATACTAGTAAATCCATCATATTTATATAAAAGTAGTTATTGTTCTGTCAGTCTATTAGAGGGTGGAGAATTAGATGGACATTTAAAACTTTAGCATATGAAAACCCTCAGCATTTTCCTCGCCTCCTGCACAAATATCACAGCCTGTCAAAAATAGCCCTTTAAAACTATTTTAACTTCCATCACTATATATGGAGTATTATTAATTTTTTTGGTAAAATATATATGGAGTATTTGCTTAGTAATCTTTAATTATTCTAAGCATTCCTTTTAGCTGTGAATTCCCATTATCCACCTCCTCCCTCGCCCCTCTTTCTCTATATCTCTCTCTCCTTCCACACTGCTCTACTCCTAATTGATTGTTGACAAAATCCTAAAGTGGTGTCTCAGATTTTGGATTAGTAATTAAGTTATGCTTTGGAGCGAGTTGAAGAAACATACTGCATAAGGTAAGTGTGTGCGTCTTGAAGGGCTTCTACAAGCTTCTCTGAGTGAGTTTTCTGGCATGAACTCAGAGCCTTAGAACATGATCAATGACCTTCTTTGGAGAGAATCGCAGCTTGGCCACTCTTCTTTTCAGGTAAGTTTTATAGAATTTTGAGATAATCCAATATTATATTTATTCGTGTGGGTATTTTACGGATTGATGAAGGTGATGAACTATTTATAGAAAGGGTTGCTATACATGTTCATGTCTGTGTGTTTATATATAATCTAACCGATCATTCTGTATACCAGAAAACGTGTATATATGTGTGTGTTTGTAAAAAAAAATCACACATTGGCTAGTTGGTTCAGATTTGAAGACATCCGCGAAGATTTATACTAATTATTCTTTTCTTAACAATCAATCAATCATACACCGTGAAGAGTAAATTTAGTCATCAAAATTTTGATAGCGAAACAGATATTTTGTTTAGAAAAAAAAAAAAAAATATATATATATATATAAATAACGTATTAAATAGAAACCTTATCTTTTAATCAAATTATCGTCTTTGTCTCATCCTTACTGGCTATCTAATTTGGTTCTCTACAAACAATAGATCTTCTCATGTCTTTTTATGTCCTTGTGCGTGTGTATGTATATAGATAGATGTAAGTACATAAGTCAGAGATAATTTATTGACATGATCTGTGTGTAGACAACTTTTGAAAACATTGAATGAAACAAGTTTTAAGTGGAAACTTATACGTGATACGTCCTTTCCGCATGAATGCAAGAACATTATGAACGATGCGACCGATTCGTATATATTCATATTCAATGATTTTAACATTAATATTGATTGATTTTAATAGATATAACCATGATCAGCAAGTTACACTGAATAGTAAAATGACTGCTCTACTTGAGTTTATTGCTATTTTCTCATATCTATTTTTCTAATTATTCTCAAACTAAGCGATGCTTATCCAGAAGAAAAGAGAAAGAAATCAACAACTTGCATGCTGTCTTTTTCCCTTCGTCCTTTCCCACCTTCACCACATATTTTCTATTTATTGCAAATCGACGATCTAAATACTATATTTTCTTAGTAGTGAAAATGAAGTTATGATGATATTCGCATCAACTACTTATAATATATATAAAAAAAAATCGAATCGTTTGTTACATAATTTAAGATATCTTGTTTTCTTACTTTTTCATACCAATGTTTTTTTCATGTGGATAATATATATACTACTAAATAGTACAAAAGATAATTTGGACATTTTGCATTGGTTGTGAAAGTAAATAACTCAGTATTCATGAAAACAATGCTTTTAAATCATCCTATTGGTGGGACAAATGGTACGTGTCTAAAGTTGTCATGCGGGCACTACTTGGATTTGTCGTATAATCTATTATTATATATTATATTTCAATAACCTATGATATTACATCACTAATTTTCCTTTGAAATGACTAAAAACAAACAAACAAATTTCAATTCGAATAAGCAAACAAAAAGTAACTACCTTAGTCATTTTCAGTTGAAGAATTCTAAATCCTCTAATATCTAAATCCTCTAATGGTTTTCAGTTTTTAATTAAAGCCCCAATAATAGTGGTCTAACTTTCTCTATCCATTGATATGGTGGCGATCAGAAAGACATTTGATTCTGTTAATAGAAATATCTGGCTTTGAGAGAAGGCCATGAGAGAGAATTCAATCAAATTGAAAATTAGGTCCCACTAGTCAACCTTCTTTTGTCTATAAACTCTTCACTTCAAGAACTAGTGGCTTCTGACTATTACTCCATCAACATCATTATCGCATGTATGCACACACACACACACACAAATTAAGTAAAATTAGGGTTTCTTTTTTGGTATGCGCTTTCATCAATCATCAAATGGCTATGAAGTGTGTGACTCAACGTTTCAGGCATGGGAACAAAGATCGCTAAGCGAATTACAACATACTCATTTGGCATAGAGAGTGTTGATTGTAGTGGATTCGTCAGATTTGGGGTTAATGGTCAACGAAAATCTTCAAAGGAGACATTGAAAGACCAGAAAGAAGAGGAAGAAAGAGTTATAAGGTCGATGGATAGGTTTCTTGAAAAGCAAAATGCTGAGTCCATCAGACGTACAATGCAAGCCCAAGAAGATCTTTTCAAGCAACAGGTGCGTTATAGTTATACATGCATATATATCATACCTATGGATTTGGTTATTCAATCCGGGTTCGTGTTCAGTTTTGGTTTAGATCTTTCATTTTTTTTTTAAGTAACCAAACTAAAAAGTAAATATGGACCAGTTTTAAGTTATTCGAACTCGATTTCAACTTATTGATGTTATTTGAAAGATTCAAATATATGTTCTGCTTTGACTATAAATACAATCTTGAGTAGAAAAACAAATAAAGAAACTATTTACCTTTTCTTTATTTATGATCATACGTATTGCGTTGTACAAGTTCAGTATATCCATATCATTTATATATGTATGTAAATATGTTTTTTGCATGTGCTATAAGTATGTATCTATACTTAGCTTATGCTTCCAATGGTAACCGCAAAGCAGGTAATATATATATACGTTTTATAATATTAGAATCGTACTGCAGTTGTTCTTCATGTTATAATCCGAAGCCTTAGATTTCTTTTCCTTTTAGGTCCAACTAAATATGATTATGATTAATAAGGATGTCTTAATTATGTTGAAGAATTGAGTTTCCATTTAGCTTTCGTTTATTTTACCCGCCTCGTTTGGATAATTAGACTAACTTTGTTTATCGACATATTCACATAAAGCATAGCACCTTTGAGATAATAACCGTACGTATATATAACGAAGTGATTATCGCAGGTACGAGAGCTGCATAGAGTATATAATATACAGAAGATGATGATGGAGCAACTCAAACATAGAAGCCAATATGGTACTACTAACACCCAAGACCAAACCGGTCCTAGAGAGAGAAGCGGAAGCTGGTCAGGCATAGACATTGAAAATGTAGCTAGAGCCACGAACACAATGACGAATCATATTGAAGAAAGCGAACTAGAATTGACATTGAGCATTGGAATGTCTTCTTCCTCTATGAACAAGGACATGGACTACTCGTCGACGACATCTTTCAGATCATCATCGGATAACTGTAATAATCAGAGCAATAATAATAATAATAACAGTAACAACCAAGAAAGTAGCGGACCAACCACTCCTATGAGCAGCTCAAGTACGACGTCACTGGATCGAGAGAAGAAGAGACCTCATTGGCTCTTTCAAGGACTTAGTATTAACCGAACTTCATGATTTTTGTTAATCGACTGACTCTTTCTTTTTCCTTCTTCTTCTTGATTTTTCTTCTTTTGTATCTGATTTGATACCATTATTATTATCTATCAGATTTACTGATGTTTGTACTAGCTCTAGTTTTTTTTCTTAGTTAACAAAAAGTCAAAATCCCAATGACAAAACAAATTTCAACATAATTAACACAAATCGTATATTTGACTATGTTGTAATAACGCATGATATACACAAGCCTTTTATGTTTATTCTTTTCAGCCCTAATAGTCATCTTCATCTTCTTCTCCATTTCTTGATCGGAAAAAGTTTTTAGCGACGGCTGAAGCGGCTCCAAGAAACATGAAGAGAACTAGGAGGTCGAAGCCACCGCCGACACCAACTGCCACCGCAGGACCAGGAGCAAAGTTGGAAAACAGTGACCATCTCCAACCGCCGTAGCCATATCCATAACCACCGTCCACTTATCAAAGGTGGTGCGACCGGAGGATTCACGTAGATGTTGGTCATGTAAAAAGAAAAAAATGTGTTAGGGATATATAAAGTAGTCTTTATCCTCCAAACGCCAACTCTTGTGTTTGGTTGTTTGCATTTACATATAGAAAAGCATTCACAAGACAATCATTTCCTAAAATTTGTAATATTTTTGTTTGTTTTTTTATTACTACTAAATGATTTTTTATTCATTAAGATAACGGTTGTGAGTTTATATTTGAAAACTCTACATAACCATCAAGGTGTAGCCTTCGTGGTTTGGTATTTTGTATCGAAATTGTTGAAAATATATAGAATAGAAAGGCCTTAAAGGAGTTATAATAATAAGAAATAGGAGGAGCTATGCGAAACACACCGTTTTGAAGAAAATGCGATTTTGGCGATTGAAAGGAAATTTCCGATACTCGATCTCGGCTGTCTCTGATGGCAGTAGAGATGGATCCGAAGAAGAAGGAGCTTCCGGTGGATCTTCCGCATTAGGGTTGTCAAAAAGAGTCGTGGGTTCAGTGGCATAGAAGAAACAAGTTATGAAGAAGTATGATTTATATATCTCGATCGCAGATGGAAAGCAATAAGTGGAAGTGCCATCGGAAATCATTGAGAAAATAAATCCACTCTGAGAGGATTTCGTGATCGCAAGACTTTTAGATACAGCGCCTCATATTGCAAATGTACATATGATATTGAATAAGATCTGAGTTTTTGGAGATAAAACTCAGAAGTTAGATGTATATGTGATGGATCAAAAGACGATGAGGGTCATGGTTACGAGTGCGGTTGTTCGAGACAAGGTAGTGAGGAGAGGAATGTAGAATATAGCGGGAGTTCCTATGGTAGTATCAAAATGGTCTCCGGTGAAAGATGATCTAACAACAAGTTTGTTACCACTTTGGGTTCATTTGACGAATGTGCCAATGAGTATGTACTCTTGGGAGGGGATGAATTTCATAACAGATGCAGAAGGGATTCCGGATCATTTGCACCCATAGATCGTTGCTTGTACTGATTTTGAAATTGCTAAGGTGTTTGTGAAGATATATCCGTCAAAGAAATTGCCAAAGTCTATCAATTTTACTATTCAGGGAAAAGAGACAACGTTGAACTTCACTTACCCATGGCTCCCATCTCGGTGTGTTTCATATGGCAAGTGGGGTCATTATGTAACTTTCTACAATGAGAAGAAGAAGAAGAAGGAGGAGGTTGGAAAGGATACCAATTCTGATGTTCAAAGCAAAGGTGAGGCAGATCATGGAAGTAAAAAAGAAGAAGTGAAGGATAATGGAAAGGATAAAAATGAATCGGAGAATAAACAAAATGAAGAAGATATAATGAGTGGAAGAGAGGGCAATAATAAAGAAGGAAATAGGTGTGGAGAGGATACAAAAGAGATAGTTGAGATTGAAGAGGGATAAGTTAATGACTGGAAGAAAGCAACTCTGGAGAAGGCATGACGAAGCCCAAAGTTACAGGATCTGCCAGAGATAACTGTTACACCTTCAAGATTTGCGGCTTTGAGTAGTTTGGATGAGAATAGAGAGCAAATAAAAAGGAAGAAAATGAAGATTAGAGGATATGAGACTGAAGGAAGCTGAGGATATATATCATAGTATGGTTGAAGAAAGTATGGAAGGGAAAACAAAAGAAAATAGACTGGGTAGTGATGCTGGATTTTTAGTGTAGTGATATTGACTGTTCTAGTCTGGAAAGAGAGGTTACTAAGGAAGAGATTCAAGATGTTATATTCAGAATGCCTGAAAATAAAGCACTATGGCCAGACGGCTTCACTTCTGAGTTTTTTTAAAGATGTTTGGCCAGTGATAAGGAGTGATATTACTAAGGCAATTCAGTCTTTCTTCATCAAGGGTTTCTTGCCCAAAGGTTTAAACTCAACAATCTTGGCTTTTATCCCCAAAAAACAAGAAGCTAGAAAATTTAGGATTACATAACGATATCCTGTTGCAACGCGTTGTCTCTAAAATCATTGCAAATAGGCTCAAAAATATTATATCCAAGTGTATTACTTTGAACATGTCTGCATTCATAAAAGAGAGGTTGCTAATGGAAAATGTTTTACTATCAACTGAGTTGGTAAAGGATTACCATAATGAAAATATATCGTCCAAATGTGTTATGGAGATTGATATCTCTAAAACTTTCGACTATGTAAAATGGCCATTTCTATTGAATGTTTTAAAAGCTTTGAGTCTTCTGAAAAAGTTCATCAAGTTGATCTCTTGTTGTGTAACCTCAGCATCTTTCTTTGTGCAAGTAAATGGTGAACTAGCAGAATATTTTCAAAGCATAAGGGGGTTAAGACAGGAACATTCACTTTCTCCATATCTTGGTGCAAAGTCTGGGTCGCCATATGGCGACCAAAATGCAGCACCCAGGTCGCCATGGCATCCCCATGTTGTTCTCTTTTGAGTCTCGATCGAAATGTCTTTTGTTTCATCTCAATCAAAATTTCCGATGAAATTTACGAAGAGAACAAGCTACACAGCTCAAAGCCCGGTCGCCATATGACGACCGGATGACGTCAGCCTCAGTCGCCATATGGAGACCGACTTGGCACAAAGCTCCGGTCGCCATATGATGACCGGATGAAGTCAGCCTCAGTCGCCATATGGCGACCGGCTTGGCACAAAGCCCAAATCACCATATGGTGACCGGATGACATCAGCCTCGGTTGCCATACGGCGACTGGCTTGGTGCAAAGTCTAAGTCGCCATATGGCGACCAAAATGCAGCTCCCAGGTAGCCATATAACGACCCCATGTTGTTCTCCTTGGAGTCTCGATCAGAATGTCTTTCTTTTCGTCCTAATCGGAATTTCTGATTGGATTTTACGAAGAAAACAAGCAACATATGCTTTTCGTAAAAGTTCGAATCAAAGCGTCAAGATAATATAGGTTAACTTAAACACCATCATATCCTCGACTTAATGAATTTATTTGGTTCAGTTCGTAAGACCAGCGTCATAGAAAATGGGCATCGGACAGCTCGACGATATCTCCGAGAATAATCGTAAAAATCCTTAAGTCATAAAACGGCCTCATCCAGCCTAAAACACGACAAAAGCCCATTTATGGTTTAACGCAAGAATATGCCCAAATTTAGTAACGGTCTAACTCGACTTTCATAAGGATAAATGGAAAAGAGGATAAATGTGAAGTTTCCAAGATCAACATGAATCTTGACAAGATTAAAAACTACCGCAAAGAGATAAACTTGGGCCCAAAGGAGAAACCGGCCTTGGATGCGTATATAAGGGGACCCAAGGCAAGGAGAACAAAAACAAATTTTCTAGACTTAGAACTCTCTGCACTTAGAAACTTTGGGCTTTATTCTCGACATGTTTGGTATTTATGTATGGCACACAAATACTAGACGAATTCGCCCGGGAAGTTCGATCTCTAGTCCAGTTCTTTCAATCAAACTACGTTCGGCTTGATCCACGAAAGGTGTACGTATGCAGCCTTTTATAAGATTCAGTCTGAAATCAATCAAAACCTTTTCGTATTTTTTCTATCTTTTGTTATCAAACTGCGACTCAATTATCAAGCTAACAGCTCTTGCAGCTGAAGCTTTTATAATATTTTGTAATGATGGCAACACTTTTACGCGGATTCAAAGTTATATCTACTGTCTTCTCTAAGTTGGTTTTCTTATCGTTTCATATTTTCCGCATCTATTTGTCACTTCGTCGTTGTCTCTCGTAGAGATCCAGGACCCTGGATCGCTGAGAAAATTAGGGTTTTTCTAACTTTCCTAATTCAACGGGAATCGACAGTGCGAATTTCGATTCTCACATTAATCACATGGAAATATATTAATTTGATTGTAGTCTCTGCATCTATACTATTAAAGTTGAAGTACAAAAATTAAGTGTTTGGAAACATGAATAGTAAGTATTTAAAATTAAGATGATTGGAAACAAGGATAGCCTACAAATCAAATCTAATGGGCTTACTTATTAAACTAAAAATTACTGCGGCCTAAAGTACCATTATTATTGTTTTTGGATTTTCTATCCTTGATATTATTTTATTTCTGAAAATTATGTATACATATATGTACTCGTGTTTTAAATATATGTGGAATAAATCAAGAATAATATATATTTTATTTATATAATTTATATTGATTATTGTTAAAAGTTTTTAACAGTAATATACTAGCATTCCAATTCTTCATTAAAAATGAACTTAAAAATTTGACTAAATTGTTTAGTGTATATAATTTTTCACCAAATTTAGTCAAAATTTTTTTTATAAAATATTACTAAAATATTTACGGGTCACAACATTTTACCGACGTCCTGTTACACAATTCAGTGATGAAATACAATGTTTAAACAATATACTATTACTTAGTAAAATTGAAACCGTAAAATTGTAATTTTTAAAATATTTATATATACCTTAAAAACAAAGACCCGCCCGGTCGGGCGGGTTATGATCTAGTAGTTATTATAAAGGGAAAATTAACCAAATAATCCTCAACTCTCAAAAATAAGCCAAAACATCTCCAACTCACAAACATGCGATTTAAACCTTCAACTTCTAGTCAAACACAAATAAATCTCATACTTTCGTTAACCAAACCGTTTTAGTCTCGTCAAAAGTCAACCATTTAATTCTGTTAGTTATCTTTAACAGTTGACTTTTAATGAGTCCAAAATAGCTTGGTTAACGAAAGTATGAGATTTTTCTCTCCTAATTTAAAGTTGAAGACTAAAATTGCTTACTTGAAAGATATCTTAACTAAAAATTGTTTTTCTTTTCTGACAGAAAATGTAATTTTTCATATCGATTGTAATCATTAACTTAATAAAATATGTTCAAGTAAGTTTAGATATAATATTTTAAAAATGAATTAAAAACTAAAAAATTTAAGAAAAAATTAATTAAAAATATAATTGTAATTACAAGATGAAACGACTGAGACATGCTGAAGGTGAGTGCGTGAAAGGATATTCGGCTAACGAAGGCAACAATTTCTATACATCAGCTGCTGGAAATCTCTTTCACGCACTTGATTTCCTCATTTTCACTTGTTTCATCCTATATTGAGTATATGTGATTATACTTTTGACAACAATGTGTTTAGAGTTTGACCTTTAACTTCTATGTTTTTATTCTTAAAATTTTTTTGAACATAAGCACTTAATTATTTTATTATATATTTGAATTTACAGTATAATTGTCTTTTTAATAAAGTTTTTTACTAAACAACTTTTAGTTTTTAATTCATTTACGAATATTATATCTAAGCTTACATATTTTATCAAGTTAGTCATTCTAATTGATATGAAAAACTACAATTTTTGTTCTAAAAATAATAATAAAAAACAGCAAATTTTAGTAAGATATTTTTAATTGATCAATTTTAATCTTCAACTTTTAAATTAGGATTAAAAAAGTCTCATACTTTCGTTAACCAAGCCATTTTGGACTCAGTTAAATTCAACCGTTAAATATAACTAACGGAACTAAACGGTTGAATATTGATGAAACTAAAATGGCTTGGTCAACGAAAGTATAAGATTTATTCGTGTTTGACTAGAAGTTAAAGGTTCAAATGACATGTTTGTGAACTGAAAATTTTTTAGCTTATTTTTAAAAATTGAGGCCTAGTTTGTCAATTTTCCTTTATTATATTATAGAATATGTATTATTCATAACAGGTGGGTTCTATATACATGTGTAATAATATGATTTTTTGATTTTGGCAAAACCAAACCATGTCTGAATAGAAACTAATAAAGTATTTGTTTTAGGGCCTGAAATATATATATATATATATATATATATATATATATATATATATATATATATTTTCTTACAGGGGTAAAGATATAGAAATGTAAGTAGTTTCACTGGTAAAAACATCAGAAAATGCATTAAAGATTAAGGTTCGAGTTTTTAATTGCAAGTTTTTAGTTTTTCTCAAAAAAAATGAAAATAATGGGTTAAAAAGTACTTTCTGGGCCAATATTTTTCAGATACGGCCCTAGATCAAACACATGATTTTATGTTTTCAATAACTTTGACGAAAAAAGAAGAGATTTACGGCTAATGAAATTTTTTTAGTGTATTTTTAAATACTTGTTAGATTTTAATTTTCTAGGTGGGGGTTGTCATGTGGGTTTAGAGATTGAGTAATTTTTGGGTTCATCCTCTAAAGTGAATCTATAGGTTCACCAACCAACATAATTATGTTATTTTATAGAGAAATTGCACTGTATATACACACATAAGTGGGAAATTTGCGCGGATGGATATTGAGCTTTTTGGGTGACGTGTTTTTTTATAATGGCCAAATCACCCCTATACATCATATATCTTAGCCTAAATTGCAATACTATATCTCTTTCTCACGCGCCAAAAGAGAGAACCCCTAATCACAACTATCGATACACTCTCCTTTTCGAAAACCTCAATCACAGTTCTCTAGATCTCTTTGGTATCTCCGTGGAGCCATTTTCATTGACCTCACTCTCTTTATACTCTCGGCTTCATTTTTTTTTCTGAACCATTCAACCAAAATTTCCAACAACGGTGTTTTCCCGGCGGTTCTCATTCTATTACAACCATAATTCCTCTGAATTATATTCTCTTATTCACCGATTTTTCTATGGAATCATCGTTTTAGTAAGTGATTCTCTGTTTCAGTGTGAAGACGACGTAATCAGCCGAGATTCTGTTACTGCAGCATACCTGCGTCGGTTAAGAAGTCATAGAATGACCAAAACCCAGGGAGACTGTTTTATGGTTGCGATCGATACCAGGTTTGTAGTTTTTTCTTCTCAATCCAATCATTTTCTATATTTGTTTTGTCATAGTTGTTCTTCTGCTCGCCAATAAATTAAACACGGCTGCAACTTCTTTCTATGGTACGATGAAAGTGAAATAACTGGTTGGCCAAAAAGGTCTCTAATCGAAGCACTAAATGAAATCCAAATGAAAAACCTAGAGATTAAACAGCTAAAGAATAACATAACAATTTTAAGTTCCGAGCTAGCGAAGCAACTTCTTGCTGAAACTCATCCGAAGCAGGAGGAGGAGGGACCTGTTGCTGCCCATGTTTTCAATTGGACAGATTTCATCTTTAGATGCTTTAGGTCGAATTAGTATATCCTTGTTTTGTCAAATAATTTGTATCTTATGGAGACTATGGTTATTTGGGACCTCAATGGATCGTATATGTCTTGTTGGTAGGTTTTTGTTATATTTGATGTCACTGATGTCAACTGATCGGCTATTTCTACGTATTATACGAAACATGTACACATTAGCTGTCCAACAATGTCAGCAACCCAAAAGAAGGATAGTGTACGTGTAAGATATTCTTTGTATAATAGCCGGATTCGCCATTAGTTATCCCAATAATATAAAATACTGTATGAGTGTGTGGCTGCGTTAGCCGGTTAAGTAAGGAGAGAGTAACATAAAACGTGAATCTTAAAAGATAACCAGTTAACAAGACAAGATTATACGCAAATGAATAAATTTTCCGGCTATTATAACAGTGCAAAACAGTTTTGTCTTCTATAATTGGTTTGGTACAAAAAAAAATTAATCTTTGAATGATGTATATTAAGCAGATAAGGACCCCTCTTTTATATCGAACTCTTATCTCTGAACCTCACGTTTCAGATCAAACTCATTTAAGCAATGGAGGTAGTAGGTTCGTCATGATCATGTAACTGTGTTAGCCGGTTAAGTATCGTAAAGAGAGAGTAACATAAAACGTGAAACTGAAACAATAACCGGTTAACAAGACAAGATTATATGCAAATAAATAAATTTGCCGGCTATTGTGTCAATGTTATGGTCATAGTGTTAGTTGGCTGGGTAATTTATTATAGTAAGACTTAGAAAGAGAAAAATGTCTTGCAATGCAAAAGGTCTCACACAACTAGTAGGGGTGAATGCTTTACTTATGATTACAATACGAAGTCATACATTAATCCACCATTAAAGACTTTAAAGACGATGCAATTTAGGAAATGGTAGTTTATTTGATGTTTCTACCACTCATCTAACACTTATTATATAGGAAAAACCTATACAACACATATAGAGTGTATTACACGCATGGCTAACATGCATTGTTTACCGTGTCCATAGTGAAAAGTTTTCGTTTTTTCAGGTGCTTTGAGTGGTCAGATTGTTCGGCTATCATTACATACGGATGCTAAACGAATATACACAAGATTTTGTGAGTATTGGTTTAGTAATAATTAGCTGCATGTATATCATTACAAACTCCTCAGCTTCTTGCGCGCGTGAAGAAGAAGCATAGGGGCAACAGCGTATTTTCATCTTAAAAACTAGTGGGCTTCACCGTTGGGCCTCTGCTTTATCCATCCCTGCAAATTATTTATGGTTAGGTGCATTTGTGTGCAAATAGCTCTATTTTATATTTAGTATCTTTTAAAAAATAAAATAAAATATTGTTGAGTTATATTATGTTTTTAAAATTTAAAGATAAAAATAATTAAAAATAATAGTAGTTGGAAAAAAAAACTTTTAACACTATTATCAAAACACTAAACCGTAAACCCTAAATCTTAAATCTTAAAACCCTTTTGTAAATCCTAAATCCTTGGATAAATCTTTGATTTTTAAACAATATTTTTAATACCGTCAACAAAATACTAAATCCTAAACCTTGGATTAATCATAAATCCCAGGGTTTAAGATTAATCCAAGAGTTGAAAATTTATCCAAGGATTTAGTGTTTTACTGACGGTATTAAAATATTTTTTTTAAAAAAAAGTTTTTTTGTTTGCAATTACTATTATTTTTTATTTATTTTATCTTTTAATTTTAAAAATATAATATAATTCAATAATATTTTGTTCCTTTTTTAAAATATATTGAATATGAAATAATGAAATCATATTGGTTTGTGAATTTAGAGATTCGTCTTAGGTGCTGAACCCAAGAATTTGTCTTAGAGATTGAGAGGAGATAAGAGCATGTTTAGAGCAACAACATCAGTAGGACTTTTGACTGAGTCCTTAACATATTTAATGAATATATTGATGTTTAGGACAAATATAAGGACTTTGGAAATTTAGAAGATTATTGGAAGGACTTATTATTGAGTCCTTATAGTTTATTTTAATTTTTTTTAAATAAAACATATAACATTAAAATAGAAAACACAAACATTTTAACATATAACATTCAAAGATAATAAACATTACAAAGTTGCAAACATCCAAAATCACACCAACAAAGTAAACATGAGCCATGAGCCATGAGATAGAAACATCAGAGTAATACATCCTTGAAGCCAAAACAACAACCATCACCACATAGTAATACACACATACAAACAACCACCAAACTATCCACTCTTTCTGCTCAACTAGTCATTCAGTAATTGGCGGAACTCTTCGCTTTCAGGACAAACACACAACAGAGGAGCAGTTTTGCCATCTCCAACGACATTGAAGACCACTAAGCAACCAATGTCGTATCTGTTATCACAACAGAACTTCGTCCACCCTCCTCTGATGTAATACATGCTCTTTGATTCGCAAAAGAGCAAATTCGCAATCCATGAGTTTCCCTCCTTGTTCACTAGTATCACCTCCTGGCATTGTTTGTTCAATACACTACATTGCTGCGTAGCTGCCGCAGGAAACAGCTGCAAACACATAACAAATAAAAATTAGTCTTTGTTAAGTTTTGAAATAAACACACATAGACCAATAACTACTTACAAGTATGTCTTCTTCTAGGTTCTTATCCGTGACCTCAACCAAGAAACAATACTCAAATGAGATAAAATCAGCCCTTGCTCCTGATCCTCCTGATCCATAAGACAAAAAAAATAGGAATCAAAAGAGGACAGTGAGTTTTAATTGGAACTTACTAATCTCACCTGCAGCAGCAGCATGTGAGGAGGCTTCGGCCTTGATCAAGGGAGGACGAGTATAGATAATCTCACAGCAGCTAGGACCCATCGGAGTTACATGAAAGACCATGTGTCTTTCTTTTTTGAAGATGACGATGTCACCGACGCGAAGGTCANTAGGAATCAAAAGAGGACAGTGAGTTTTAATTGGAACTTACTAATCTCACCTGCAGCAGCAGCATGTGAGGAGGCTTCGGCCTTGATCAAGGGAGGACGAGTATAGATAATCTCACAGCAGCTAGGACCCATCGGAGTTACATGAAAGACCATGTGTCTTTCTTTTTTGAAGATGACGATGTCACCGACGCGAAGGTCATGTGCTTTGGCGAATGTTTCCCAACCTCTGGTGAGTCTCGTCCCTTCTTGTATCACCTCCCAAGTCTTATCGGAAGCGTCCGATCTTAACTTCCATGATGTCTTGTTCATCTTCCCTTCTAAGTGATTTGCGAAGAAAGTAAGTGGTATGTCCTGAATTCAGAGAAGAGAACGTTAAGCACAACTAAACATTACACATATACAGCGGAAAATAGGGAGAATGTGTATGTACCAAGCCAGTGTGGAAACCAGAGAGTATGGGCTTTACAAAATGAGGTTCATGCGGAGCTAACCGAAGAGACATCTACAAACAATAAATGAATGAAAGAGGTAATAAGTTAGTAGCATAGAGACAATAAAAAAAAAGACTTAACAGAAACTAAAACCAGAGTCCAATCAGACTTAAAATGAACACACATCATCTTAAAATGAACACACATCATGTTAAAATGAACACACATCATCTTGCATTGTCTACGGCAATTCTAGCTAAAGCATTAGCTACGTTTTGATGTATCAATACGAACATGGAGATAAACAACATTGATGTATCAATACGAACATGGAGATAAACACTTCTTTCATTTATTCGATCTCTAATCTACGTTTTGATGTATCAATAGAAAATGGAGATAAACAACAAGAACTTATTATTGAATTTATTATCAAACTTACTACAAGAACGACTCAGCTCAAAATATTTAAAACACAAATCAATACAATATAAAACATTGAATCACAAACGACATTCATTCAATCATAGCATGCAAATTAATTACACAAGTCAAAACTGGATGTGGTTGCTCTAAGACCATGAATATGACGACAATATCGCAAAGCTATGGACTGAGGAAGAATTACCTTTTTGAGGGATCCTTTCACCGTGGGAATCGCCGAGAAAATTTGGAACTCGAAAGAGAGAGAGTCTGGAGAAGCCTGTAATCAATTACAAATGAATTACACAAGTGAATCGAGAGAGAGACAGCAACTTTTCGGTTTTCGAAAATATCTCTATTCGGGAACACATGCAAATCGAGAGAGAGACATCACCTTTTTGGTGGAAATAGACGGAGAATCTCCCCGTGAGACAGCTGATCGGTGTCGAGGGAGTCGACGGAGCCGTTCACCGAGCCAATCTGAAAATCGAGAGAGAGAGATAGAAGCTTCCAGCCGTCGCCGTAGAGAGAATCGGGAACAAACACAAATGAATTTCAACAGTCAGAACGACAAACCCCTTTCCCGTATGGAGCGGTTGAATGGCAACGAGGCACGTGGCGGTAAGGACGGGAGAATAAAAGTTCTTATCTTGGGACATCCAGTTTCGTCCCTCACATAATTAGGCCTTTTTGATTTATTTTTGGGCCTAAAATACCCAAGATACGGCCATAAGGACACCGATAATTGTGCTCTTATAGGCAAAAATTTTAAATGTATCTTAAGTGGGTCCAAGTGAAAAAGAGAGACAGAGAGAGAAAAAAAGAAAAGAAAAAATAAGACGAAACAGAGAGAGAAAGAAGGAACGAGAGAGTGCTTTTGTGACACGTAGTATAAGAGACGTGTCTTCGATGCTTAATTAGGATACGTGACTTAGTTTTAGTGACTTTTTTGTTCTCTTTTGTTAATATAATTAATATAAGATATTCCCCTAAGAGATACCGATAAACGTGCTCTAAAGTGTATTAGAATAAGCAAAAGTATCTTAGTAGTATGGAATGTAATTAACAAATATAAATGTGACCTAGAGTGTAAATCTCGCTTAAAAATTTCTGCAGAGTAATTATATTTCGGTGATGCTGCCCATTTAGAATATTAATTGTGCCTCAAAAGCTTTCTCGATCTATGTAATCCAATAAGAGCATTTTCAAAGGGGTTATATTCTATTAGAGTTCTAAAACTATTTATGTGTAAGTATATCTATTATCTATTATATAAAGTAAAGCATCACTCCTCTAAAGCTGTCCACGTCAGCGCCAGCGTGGAAAAGCCACGTCTGACACGAGAATTAATATTGGGCTTCGCTTGATTTCACGGTTTGGGCTTCATGACTGGCACGTAATTTTTTTTTTTTTTTTAAGCATCTACCCTAGACTTTCGAGTTCCCATCGAGAGGTGATGATTGGTGTCTCTTGGCTCCTCGGGTTCCGGCAAGTAGGGCGTATGAGGCATGGGGTCGACATGAAGTTCATCGATCTGCTACTCATCGATGGGCATGTAAGCTTCACATCTTTATTAACTTTTATTTGCTTGATTTAAACCTCTTTGTGTTATGATTCTGATTTAAACCTCTTTGTGTTATGATTCTCTTTTTTCTAAGTTAGTTGTTCAGCAACTAGGGTTCTTATTTGTTTAAATGGGCAAAAACCTTGAATCAGTCTTTAGAATAAAGAAAAAAATCATTAACTATTGTTCATCAGTTTTGGAGATTCGTTTATTGCTCTGATTCTGTTTTCGTTTTGCCTGAATTGTATTTGTTTATGTCCTCAACTTCTACTAATTCTATGATCTTCTGATAATTCTTGGTCAGACTCTTCTAGAGCAGAATTCTGTATAATTGTGGCTTGAGATTGAAATGAGACTCTTTTTTCTATTTGGAATGAAGAATTACCGAATTTTTTGTGGTGCCAACTTTGCTAATAATTCTCAATGTGCAGAGCAGTTTTTGTGGAAAGATCTGGTGCTGACAGAAAGGTACCTGGCAAGGATTATTATTATACTTTTACCAGTAACACAACCAGACACCAATAGACTAACAAATTTGGTTCTGTTGTTATAAACCATAATAGGTTCATATAGTGTATTTCAGTGAGAAGAACATGATGATTTTGAGTTTGTCACAGAATCTCATCATCAGATGTTGTGGTCACTTCTTGGAGGGTGTCTAAGAGTTGTTTCTCTTTCCCAAGTGTATATTAATGTCTCAATTGTTACTTAAATTCAATGCGTTTTTTGTTTCCCATGATTAGAGTAAAAGGAATGCTTATAATTCAGTGTTGTACAGTTATGGACATGGCTTCTCAAGGTTTTGCAGCGAAACTCACCAAGTCCCAAGCCAAAAAATAACAGGTACTTTGTCTCATGTCTCATATTCTTGGCTTTCTTGGAAACAAATACCTAAGTCATACATTTACATGACATCTTCATTTCTCTCAGACACATCTATGTGTTTCTCATTGTTAATGCTCTGTGCCAACAGCTTTACCATAAGTTTGTTTATGTCACACCTTGCTGCCAATCCGAAAAATCTTAATATTGTGAAGAAGTTATCATTGACATTGACATTGTCGACACAGGTACGTCTCTTTATTTTTACATACATGTCATGACACTTATGGTTTGATTATACATGTCACCACCACAAGGTGAAACCAAAGCCTCAAAAGAAACAAGCTGCGGAGACATCTGAAGATGATGCTCATAATTACCAACTCTTCTGTTTTATGGGGCTCTCATTTTTTAGCATTTATGTTGATTATACATTTTATGGTTTCTTAGTATCCCAAAAGCAAAAAATAGCAAACCTCGTGAAGTTGGTGCGTTTCCAAACTATGTCTTCAGCTTCTAATGTGACCAGCAGGCTGAAAAGAGAAGAGAGGTTTGTGTTTTAAGTCCTCTCTCCACAAAAATGTTTTGAAAATAATTGTTATCTCTGCTTTCATATGGTACAGTTCTATGTTAAGCTTGAGGAGAAGACTCATGCGAAAGAAGAGGAGATTAATAATATGCGAACCAAGTCCAAGGTTTGTCTTCTAAGCCTTCTTCTTTTCCATAGTGTTATCGACCTAAAATCTTTGGTACTGTCGCAGGAAACACAAGAAGCTGAGCTTAAACTTCAATGCTACACCCATGCCTAGCTTCTCTCAGCCGCCTAAAACAGAGTTAAAGAAGGTACTTGTGCTCTCTTCTTAACCATGATCTATGAAGTGTTAATTTTCATTGTTTCTTTGTAGATACCACCAACAAGACCCAAATCTCCAAAACTCGGGACAAAGAAGACTGATTCTGAAGAAACTCAGAAGACCGCACGTGTCGCTAGGCTGAGCTTAGATGACAAAGCCTCTAAAGATAAGGGAACTGTGCCAACAGTTGATCTCAAGAAGCCACCTTTGCGCAAGTCAGTTCCAATATTGCCATCTCAGAAAACAGTTCTCCCAGATGGAATACTCGCTCCAGCGAGGTGAAACCTGAAAGAAAGAAAGTTGAAAAAGATGGAGAAGCCCTGAAACAGTTTTCAAATCCCATAGATGAGGAAGCACAAGGGACTGTATCATCGTCCAATGTCGATGCAGAAAATTCACATGAGATTGTATCTTCACGGAGGGATGAAGAAAGAGTTGAGTCCATTTGAGCATTAAGACTCATAACCTGCAATTATTTAAGGACAATAGGAAAAGAAACAGTATGATTTTTGTTATATATCTTCGACCAAAACTTTATGTGAGAAAAAATGGGTAAAAGAATGAAAAGAGGCATGGTTTTGGTTCTAAATGTTGTTGCTTTTTGATAGATTTACTTCTGAAAAATAGGGGAAGACGACGTATTTCCACACCAGAACTATGGCATAGTAATAAATGTACACAAAGTTTCGAGGTCGTCCTAATTGCACACCGTTGAAGTTAGACAACCAATTTCCACATAATAAGAAAGTTCGAACCTCGTTTCCACCTAATGTTTATAAATCGAACTAATATCCACAAATATCGGTTTAAAATTGGTTAAAGTTCCCTAAACCTAAGGTTAACCAATCCTTACCTAACTAAACCAAAAACTATCCAATTATAACCCGATTAGAGAATACAACGAGAGAGAGACACATAGAGATCATGGTTGAATTCCGGAACATCACTCCACTCTACATTCACATCAGTGAATGGCTCCATTGTTGATTCCTGCAAAGAGACAACGAGAGAGAGACACAGAGAGATCAAAACAGAGAGACACAGAGGGACAAAGAAACAACGAGAGAGAGAGAGCGAGACAGAGACAAAGAAGAGATGTCGAAATTACCTAGACTAAACACAATCGGTACACAATCGACAGAGAGAGAGAGAGAGAGAGAGAGAGAGAGACCGTGTTTGTTCTTCTTCAGGACAGATTGGTGATTTAGGGTTTCTAATCGGGTTCTGGGATGGTTTAGTTGTTTAATCGGTTTTTTTATTCTCTAATCGGGTTATAATTGGATAGTTTTTGGTTTAGTTAGGTAAGGATTGGTTAACCTTAGGTTTAGGGAACTTTAACCAATTTTAAACCGACATTTGTGGATATTAGTTCGATTTATAAAGATTAGGTGGAAATGAGGTTCAAACTTTCTTATTATGTGGAAATTGGTTGTCTAACTTCAACGGTGTGCAATTAGGACGACCTCGAAACTTTGTGTACATTTATTACTATGCCATAGTTCTGGTGTGGAAATACGTCGTCTTCCCGAAAAATAGAGCACGTGATTTTGGAGTTGGAGGTTGTATCAACTTTTATTTTTTTTCTTAAATAGTATTTAAGGTTTTTATTTTCATAAATTACATAATTATATAGCAGTAATGACAATAAGTAAGAGTAGTGTAATTTTTTTTTCCAAACAATATAATTAAGCAATTTTTTTACCATGATATATAATTAATCTTATAGTTTAATATATATCATATACAAACAAATGTCGATCCATTTATAAGCATTTTTCAAATAAGTTTTCACTTCGAAAATATTTTAAATATTAAGTAGATAGTAAAATAATATAGTGTAGTATTTTGTGTTTTAAATGAATATTTTAGTCGTTTTTTTTATCTAAACGAAATATAATTTATTTTGTTTAACAATTCTTAATTTGAACTAATATACGAGAGAACAAATGATACATATTTTATAAAAAAATAGAAGATTATTCATCTATCACACAATTTACTTAACTGTAACGATTTTGAGGTTCAATTTACTAAAATTCCACGTAAAGCGAATACTTAACGAATCCACTCGCCGCACGAAGCGCGGTCCGGCCCTAGTATTATATATATGTATGTAATTGTGTGGTCTATAAAATAGTGTAGAATTCTATTTAAAAGTTTAAAAAAATAAAAAAAATTAAAATTTTTGAATAGAATTTTATATTATTTAGTAGACCCTATAATTACATGTATATATAATATATACATATATGTATATAGTTTTAGAACTTTAATGGGCTAGAACTCCCATCGGAGATGTTAAAGGCCCTTGCGCTTATTAAATGAAAGATTGCCGAGAAAAAGTAAGAAAGATATGTTTACCAAATGTAACTGATGGTAAAAGTAAAAAAAAAGTGAGAGAAATAAGTAGAGCTGGGGTTTAAAAACCCTAAACAACCACAACCACCGTCCTCAGTCGCATAACCACCATGTCAGAGCGTGACCGCCGCGAACGCGAACGAGAGAGGGATAGATACCCTGAACGCGACCGCGATAGACGCCGCGACAGAGACGACCGTGATCGTGACCGTGACCGTGACAGAGCGCTTCGAAGCAAAAAATCCCGATCTCGTACTCCAGACCACCACCACGCTCGTCCTCCTCGCCACGCGCGCTCTCCAGAGAGATACCGATCTCGCTCCCGCTCAATTGACCGTCACCGCCACCACAGCAGGCGGAGGACTCCCTCTCCCGATCCTCCCCCGTCGCGGAAACGACCTCGCCACGGCTCAGCGGAGGACGACAAGGAGAGGAGCCGCAAACGAGATGCTGCGTCTGAGTCCGAGATTGCGAAGGAGGAAGGTAAGAAGAAGAAGGAGAAAGAACCAAGCGGCGGAGGAGAGACAACGGAGGAAGGAATGGATGTGAATGAGATTGAGATGATGAAGATGTTAGGGATCCCTACGGGATTTGACTCCACGAAAGGGAAGCATGTGGAAGGCGCTGACGTCAGCGGGATTAGGGCTGTTACTAAGCGGCAGCCGAGGCAGTATATGAACCGTCGCGGCGGGTTTAACCGTCCTTTGCCTGCTGAGCGTAACCGCTAAAGGTTAGTGGGGCTTTCTCACAAAGCTTTCAGAGTTTATGTCTTTTGTTGATGTTAGTTAGTGATACAAAACTTGGTGGATAATCTCTGTGAGATAAGGTTTAGCTACTGTGAGATAGGTTGTAGTAGTATGATTTAGTTAGTTTGTGTGGCTGCATTGAAGATGATGAATCATTAACATACTCTAACAACTCATTAGCTTCAGCATTTTCCATGTTTAATTTATGTGTATCTTGGCTCTATGCAAGTGATCTCTGTTTCAGGAGATATCCCCTCACAAGGTCCAAATAGTTCACTGACTCCTTTTTTTTCATTTGCAATATTCATTCAAAGAAGATGAAACCAGTCTTGTGGTTCTCTTAAGTTTTGTTCTCATGCCTTGAGAAACATTTGAACCTCTGGTAGCTTCCTATAGGTCTCTCGACTGTTGAGTTTACTTGTCACTGGATTGACATAGAGCCACCTCTCTTACTTTGAAAAGATTAAGCAATTTCATTTTTCTGTCATGATGCTTACTTAGAATTTTGTTGCGACTTTTTGTACTTAGTTCCTGTTATCTAATTAATCACGTTACCTCACCAGTTTCCCTCTCATGATCTTGCAGGTCCTTGTCATGCTGTCTTTGAACACGAGTCAGATGATGAGAATTCGAGCTGCATTTCCCAGGTTGTATTTACTGCAATTCTTCCCCAGACTCTGTTCTAATGTCCTTAGAGAACAAACATGTACTCTCTACTGGAGTTAAAACATCTCATGAGTTATCTCTTTTCAGGGGTTTAGAGTTGTGAATGTTATGTGAGTAATCTCCCGGCTCTAACTTTTAAACTATGATTAAGTTGAAATCATGCATGTTCATTCTGAGTTTTGCACTACACATTAGAAGCCAAGTGGTGTTGATTCCAAATTATCCTTATGTTTTAGGATATTAAGCTAACTGATTAAAATTCCGATTTTGAAAAGATTTAATGCCAGAGCTTGAGGCAGATTCCACCAGGTACAACACCAGTTCTTGATGATCACTTGCTGAGTATGCATTCTGATAATGCAACCACAAGCTGTTGTCCCAAAGAAGGCAGATATTCCATGAACGTCGGAACAAAAAGCTTCACAACTCGTAACTTCCCGATGAGTAGTTTTCAAGTTATACCATGTCAAGAACATTCCCTCAAAACTCGTGTAAACATCTAAAGGTCTTCACAATATGATTTCTTGGACTAAATATTCTAGAACGGATTGGTAAAAGCAAGTAAGAATGTAAGTAAAAGATTATTTTGTTAGAATACATAAACGAGAGTGATTTGAAACAGAATGCAATACTTCTAAAAAACTTACAAATTTGAAAGAAATATTAAATCACTCGTAATCCTTAACCTATCTCCGATCTTTGGAGGAAGATGACAACGAAGAAGAAGATGAGCTCGATCTGTACTCCTCAGTTCTCTCCACTTCACCACAACCACCTTGACGAGCATTCTTATAATCTGATATATGTATCATACATGCAAATTAAATGTTTGGGGAGAGAATTACATACTAATATAAACATCATTTTTTATGAAACTTAAAAATAACTAAGAATCACATTGCCCATACTAATAGCATAACTTAAAATCATATGATTTGCAGGATGGCGAAATGATTAACTTAGATTATTTTTCACAACCATACAAATTTTCAGATATGTTATTCACAAGATTAATTGACAATGATTAAAAAATACTACAATTTCTATGCTTTTATTTTATTACTCCGCATGTTAACATAATAATTAACTATAAAGATTTACGTGATCGAAAAAATACAAAACATCTTGCGAATCATCCATGTAATAAAAACCTATAAACCTATATGTTCAAAAAAATATCGATGTAAACCAATATGTAAAACTTGCATGTCATAAACATATAACGCTTAAGGAGTTACCTCGACTAGGCATGCTTTGGTTTGACCATTTAGAGAAATATCTGTTACGAATACTCTTCCAGCCCCAAAGCCTAACGTTGCCCGTAAAACGAGAACGTTTATTTGTTTCTCCAAACGAAGGTTTAGTGAGGCTACGACTAAGGTGCGCAGGAGGAGGAGTAATCGGAGGAACGATTTCTTGAGGGGGAGGATTGATCGGAGTTCCAGGCTGCATTTCCCACTTGAAAGGAACTCCATCATCAAGACTCCGATGATGGTAATAATAGAAGAGTCTTGAAGAAACTCCCACCGATGAGCTTCTTGAGATCTCTGATCTTCTCTTGCATAAATTATCTTCCATCAACAATAACGAAGCTTTTGGTGTTGGAGTTGTGTTATTTTGTTCTTGATTCATGATGAATGTTCGTGTGAAGAGATAGATGCAAGAGAGAAGAAATGTTTTGATGGCTGAATCATAAAAGATATGAAACGTTTGAGATTTAGGGAGATCGTATAAAATGAAAATATATGTATATATAAATATGGAAAGACAGAGATTCTATCCAGTGTAAATGGGGAAAGAATTGTTGATACAATAAAAAACATTTAATGTTAGAAGAGTATATCATTTGAATATTAGACCCACATTATTATTACATGTAACGGGTTTTGATAATTATGTGTATGATATCATTTTAATAACAAGGGTTTGACTTTATATCACCCAAATAGCCTCTATTGCTTATTTCTTTGGTGACTTGGTTGGTTGCTTCACTTGCTTGTGGACCTGAAAATGTGTAACTACGAGACGATTTTTATTCTTATCGTTATTATTTATTTTTTAAACTACTGATTTTATTACGATTTATTATTTTATTTTTAACTATGATTTTTATTATTACTAGGCCTATATTACGATTTATTATTTATTTAAAATACATGATAATTTAATCAAACTAGTTGTAGTTTAGTGGTTTCCATCTATTTAGTTGAAGGATAATATCACATGTTATTTAATGCACATTTATGTAGCAAAACCCAATATTTATTCTAAATAAACAATTTAAGAAACTCAATTAACCGGTAGAAGGAATAAACTATTACAATCAAAAACATTTATTGCATATCTTTTTCATTAAGGAAATACTACGGTAAATTGCTCTATAGAGAAAGGCTTGAATGTTTTGTTTTAGTTATCTAAATAAAATATATGATTTCCTTATATGTCTCTTTTTTGTTAAAATTCCGTTGTATGTGTGTATTTTTGGATAGTATTCTGATATACCCCAGTTGGAAAATAATTATTCTAAGTACCCCACTATTTTTCTCACTGTCCCACTTTTTTTTGTTCGTAGTAATTTCTAGTAATTCAAGGTAGTTTGTTTTTTGTTCATAGTAGTTTCTAGTAATTTAAGGTAGTTTCTAGTAATTCAAAGTAATTCAAAGTAGTTTCTAGTAATTCATATTACACATAATATTGATTCATTAAGGGTAATTGATATTTTAACCATACTTAGACTTTGAGCAAAAAAAAAAATCAAATTTATGATGGGTTAAAATAGAATGATGATGGTAGTGAGTGGGACAATGTAGAATTTAGTACTTTAATATGAAGAGCACGTTAATATAGTCCAGGAACGGTTTGATTTCAAATGCGCATGTGAGACGCCAAAATTTTGAGTAGGTTTCAGATGCGCATGTGAGACGCCAAAATTTGGATACTCCTCAGTTTCATTAAAAAGATTAAGAGAGGTTGAGGAAAATTTTAAGCATTATAACTTTTATCACTAATATAACACATGGTTAAAATAAGAAAAATAAAATTTACTAAGAAATAAAAACATTTATACCTTTATGATTAACCAATCTAATTTACAGTTTACTATACAATAAAGGTTGAATAAAAATTACAATTAAGATTAAAATAATAAAATTTGAAATATTTTTTTTTTAAATTGAATAAGTTTTTTGAAAATAAAATATTTTATTATTTATTTACATTTCTATATTTATAGAGTAAGAATATAATTATCATTTAATAAAACTTCTTTTAGTCCTTTTCCTCCTGTTTTGTCAAAAAAAATATTCTAAGGTATTTTGTGAAATTTTCTCAATTTTGATTAATGCCATTTTTATGAAAAATACTAATTTATTACTTATTTTAATGTTATTGATCGGAAATTCAGACTTTAAAAATACAATTGCAGTATCAACTTGCCGGGCTTGCAAAAAATAGCCTTTTACTGAGCTCGTACTAAGTTGATTTACTAATTTAATATAAACTAGATTTTGAACCCAAACATCAGGTATTTTTTTCATTTCACATAGTATTTTATTTTAATATAATATAGAATATAACTAAATTATAAAATATAAGAATTTTTATTTTTAAGTAACATTAATAGAGATATTTATATATATTAATCACGAATTAAATAATGCATATTTTATAAAAGTATGTTAACTTTTTAGTAAGATCTAGTTAGATATTTTACCAACAAATTTATTACTAATATCTTATTAATTATTAAAATATTTCTATAATTATATATATTTGATTGGTGAATATAAATAATTAAATATGTCATATTAATGAGATGGTCCTACATGACTTTTTTGTAGTAGATATGAATGGTACTTTTCTTTTAATAGCGAATATATAATTTTTTGACATTTTGAAAGAAAATTACATTGTTTGCGTTACAAATCACAATCAATTTTTTTTTTGTGTCACAATCAAACAAGCTTATATCATTGAGCGTTGGTGTATTATACAAACACTTCAGTGATCATAAATAAGATTGGATTCTCTAGCAGGTGTAAGAATCTCCGATAAGAGAGACAATGACACTACTAAAAGCTGAATAAATACATAATATAGAAGGAGTTGCGAGAAACATCGGCTCATACCGTTTTAGTTGGGCCTTGTCATACCGTTTTAGTTGGGCCTTGTAAGTATAATTAATTGGGGGCTTATATGTAAGGCTCAAGTGATCTATCTGTTGCACTTCTGCGAGTGTAGTAGATGAACGAACAATGATGATTATCATTGTGTTTGGTTAGAAACAGACCAAAATCAGCGGGCGATTGTTTTGATTGTTATTGTATTTTTAGTTATCATCGGGGAGTGAAATATGCAAACATTAACGTATGTCTGTAGAATCGAAAAAACAAAAATCGAGACAAATTAATTGGAAGATTAAAATAAACTGAAACTTGATCAAAATCTGTTGAAAACTATGTAACCGAGGTAAGTTTTAAACATTTTCCATGCCTCCCATGTCGGATCTTCGAGTCTTCTTCTTCGAATCCCAAGTTATAAAATAAATTTTTATCATCACTTATCACCATGATTATTACGAAATAAATTATAGATTGCTTCAAACCTAAGAAAATATGCTTCTTGTGCTTCGTTTTCATGTCTTCTTGGGTTTGCTTAGCTCATTCACCTCTGGCTTCTTGGATCCACTCCCTAACAAAAATTTAATATTTCACCATTATATCATAAGTTCATAACTATGTACCTATTTGTTGTGTCTCTTAAAAACATATTTTTTTGGATATCTCATTTTAAATTTAACAAACAACTGTTAGGTATCAAACTAGGTTCGATTGCTTCCTTATCAAGTTATCCCTAAGTTCTTCGAATCTTGATGAATGTATACTAACAAGTGATACTACTTGAATCAATCAAAACGCAAATGAACACAGAGATTTTGTTGACCCAGTCTTCGTTGCCTAATGACTGGAGAGAGAACTAAACTCTCATGATTCCACTATGATATCGATTTGATACAATAGCGTGATCTTAACCGATCTTTTACACTCACTTGTGCAGGTATTATAAGAGCTTGTACCGAGAGTTGTTCAAGGAAGAGTACCAAGACCTCTGCGAAGAAGACGACTCACTATCAGCCTCCGATTCCTCCGATGAAGAGAACACGCAGAGTGATCCGGAGAAAGCTGAGGATCGCAAGAGCTTGACCGCACCTTGATCTCTCTGTTCTTGATCGAGCTTTCTCCTCCAACTTGGTAGCTTCCTCGTCTCTCTCTCTCTTGTAAACCGTAGAGTACTTTCTTCTGTAACTCCTCTGTTTTATATATCAAACGATGAAGATGATGATGGTTGTTAGACGTTACCGTTTGGTTGTTAACTAACGGACCTCGCCACTTTAACGGAATAAACCAACCCGTGTTTCTGGACTTCTAAAGTATCTCCCCTTTTAGCCCAAACAAATAACCCGAGAGTCCAATAGCCAACTTTCGAGCCCATTAGGCCCATGACCTAAATACGACAACACTCTCCACAAATCTCCACCTTTGTCTCTCTTAGGTCAAACCGCCGTCAAGACACAACACCAAACAGAGAACCCTAATCATGTCTGAATCACCTCAGTCGAGTTACACCAGTTCAAACAGCATCGAAGAAACCCAGAAACCAACACCTCTGATCCCTGCAACCCCAATACTCAGCCCTGAACCTCTGCTCTATGACTCTGATCCAGTGAGATCTCCAACTCTCACTCTTCCACACGACTTCAGAATTCCCGAATCTATTTCAGTCCCGGCACCTGGATCTGCAATCTCAATGATTCAACCACCAACTGGCCCCATGGCCAATCAACCACGACTCACCAACGTTGAATACTGTAAGTAACTTCAACACTCTCTGAACATACACCTTTAACCAGAAACCTTTCCTGACTGAAATGTAACTGTAGTTAATCGGAACCTGAACCTGTTCGGAGATGAGCCAGTGACCTTAACGTAAGTTGAACAAACCCTTTATCTGAACACCTTTAGTTAGAACCTTGTTGTTTAACCAGATGACAAACCACTAACACGTTTGCCTCTTTGATTCATGTACCCCTTCTTCTGAGACGACCAAACAACAGAGCCATCTCGGAGTACGTCACGAAGCGATCAGGCGACGATCCCCAGCGTTACGAGGCACTTCTCGAACGCATTTCCAGGTAACGTCTTCGTCAACATATCTGCAGGATTTAGACTCGTATGAATCTTTAGGACCTTCACTAAACCAAAATCAATAATGTCTCTGATAAAATGAATTTTCCTCGCAATATGTTTAGTACGATCGTGATGCACTGCATTCTTAGCTAGGCAAATAGCACTTTGTGAATCACAGTGTAGCTTAAAACTGTTTGAATCAAAACCCAACTCTTCACAGAATTCCCTTAGCCATAACCCTTCCTTAGTAGCCTCAGATAACGCCATGTACTCAGCCTCTGTCGTAGATAATGCTACAACATGTTGTAGTGATGATCTCCAACTCACAGTATTACCTCCAACTTTGAACACATACCCTGTGACTGATCTTCGCTTGTCGAGGTCAGTAGAATA